TCAGCTGCGTTTCATTTACACTTTTAGCCAAGGCAACCATGTGGAATGGCAAACGTGATCGCAGCTCACAGGCCCACTCAAACAAACTCCAGACTGGTCGATGCATCTGATACTGAGGAAAGCCGATCGCTGTTCATGAAAAAACAAACCACTATTGTTAGTCCTGCCTGGCAAGATGAACTTAACGGACGGTGACTAGACGCATTTGTTTTAGCTCAACACATCCGTTCTGAGTTTTCGGGAAACATGAGAACAATTAAAGCTGTCTACAGAACTTGCGAATGAAAAGCCGAGGGTTTGAAGATACATGCATTTTGACAAAATATTGAAAATCGGTTCTCGTAGCTCCGATGAACTGAATTCCATTTCGCCTGTTCGCTGAGCTTGGCAATTTGTTTGCAAACGTTTCATCACCAGCCGAGGTGACATCATCAGTGCTTGCTTGCTTGCCAAGCTCGGCGAACAGACGAAATGAAATACATGCATTTCCACACTACTTTTCAAATCCTCCATGGTCACTGGCTTCTTCCTGAACCCATTTGTCCTAGTCTGGACTGATCCGGTTTGAAGAAAACAGTCATGGCATTTTCCACGGCTTTCTCTTTCGTGGATTGAGACGCTTAAATTCTTCGCATGTGTGCCGAAAACTTAGGCCTGATGTACTGAGTCAAACCAGAAGCAAAGACTGACAACATTGATTTGTTTTTTAAGAACAGAGAACCGTCAAAACAAAACAATCGACTCTCCTCTCTAAATGCATTAGCCGTTCGGGAAATTGTGTGAATGAGCTTGTGAGTTGCGATCACATTTACCATTTGACAGTTTCACCGAATAAAATGAACCGCAACTGAAACCTCTACTTAGCGGTGTGTCGAGTCCTGTGTAAAACCTGTGAAACCAGCATCGGACTGGCGAGACTTACATAGAAATAGGGATAAAACATTTTCTCAGACCCGAATAATGCAATTTTTAGACCTCTTCTGTGGAATGATCAAAACTCAGTGCTGTGTTATGAGATGTGGCCAATGTCGCTCCATGTGATTGGAGTGGCTGAGGGCATTCCCATGAAGCAAGACGACAGAATCTGCAAAGAACGAGGTCGACCCACCGGCGTGACCAACGTAAGACGATTGGGCTTGTAAAGGGCCGGGAAGTCAAGGTCGTAGTTTGTAAAAGCCTTTAGTGCAGATTTAACCAATCCGAAAAACTGAATCCACTGCCCGGTGGAGGACGGCGACTATAACCGGGATACGCTAGGGACCGACGACGAACAATTACTGACAAAATGGACCGGATGTTACCGGGACCATTTGCTGCTTCCTCTCTCAAATATCCAACATGTATCCTGCAGAATGGAAACGGTAGGCTATATTGTTCGCCAATTGTGCAACAGTATACACCACATTAAGGAACAGTCTCTCTTCCTTGGTTAGCATACTAACAGAATCTTCATCCGACAGAAAATATTTGTGACAGGTGAAGAGGAGGAAGAAGAAGCAGGCACTTACAAACCTCAAGAGTTTGAAAAAAGAATAATGAACAGTACTAGAAGACTACATCCATAAACACATCACTAGCAAGAGTATGAGAGTTGATGAAGTTACTAAACACGCAGGTAGTGATGCTAACAAATACACGGCTTGTTTATTCGGAACAGGTACAGTGCAGTTCTCGGAGGGAGTGCACCTAGTATAAAACTCTGATAAACACTGAGTCGATGTTGTGACTTACGAGTGCGGGGTGGGGAGATATTTTGTCTGATATTTACAAAACACATTGCAGTTGTAATGAACGTAGAATGATGATGACCTAGCTTGATGCGAATTTATAAACGCACAAATACAAAGAGTGGTATGGACATGGATATTAAAGACATTGGAATTTACCAAAGTTATTCAATGCCGAGCTAAGTTCCGTGAACAGCAAATAGCCAGTTGGAACGGTACAATCGAAAAGTAATCGACCATTCCGATTGTGCACAACTTCAGCCAAAAGCTTGAGCACCGAGACACTGACCAACGGATCCAGAGGCCATAGTTCAAGTGCTCGACCGAAAAGTTTGAACCCGGTCGGATAGAACCATTCCAGAAGCAACTGGTAGGCAGCCTTGGTGTTCAAACTGGATGATAGACCGCGCAAATCTCGAGCCAATCCGACGACAGCGTTTTTCACCTGTTCGGCTGTCATGGCCGAAGCTGCACAACAAGGAGCGGTAATGAAAAACAGCAATAGGAAGTTTTTTTTGGAGGGGGTCTGGCTCGAGTCTAAACCACGTCAATCCTTTTGGGATTTTTCCATAACCACTCATAAGGCTTTCACTAAGTAATAGTAAGTCCTAACAATTGTGGGCTTTATCTCTCTCTCTCTCTCTCGCCCACAAAGGTCGTAGCAGGGCATGTTTTATCTTTGTGAATCAAAGAACAGCAGAGAAGACTATGGATGAACCTAATCAGATAAAATTAACCACAAAAACCTCTCATCTGCAAGTTGTGTCATTTTAGCACAGATCAAAAGTTGGTGAACCCTCCCACAGTTAGCTTCAGCTCGAGTGCACTTTGTTCCGTCCGGGGTAAATTCTCGCGGAAATTAACTCTTGAATAGATATAACGTGGCTGGTCGAATCACAGTAGAATGAGAATGCCGCAAGCCCGGGATTTGATCATTGTGGAAATCGTACTGAACAAGGTATGGCAATAGGCTCTGAACATAGAGAGCTTCGCCTGGTTATATATGGGTGCCAATACAACCCATTAGCACGGTTATTGCGGTTTTCCAAAACATGCATTGAAATCTGTCGTACACGGAGCTCAGGGGAGATGAACTGGCTAAAATGCGACCAAGTTCAATGTGTTGGAGAATAGGTATATAGGTAAATCAATAAAATGCAATCACCTAAAACGGACAATCAGTTCAAAAAACGCACGTAAAAACGTGATTCGTACACACACACACACACCGTATGAAAGGTAGACGAATAAGTCCATCCGTTAACGTTTAGTGATAGGCAATCGGAAGTGGTTGATAGCATAGAGATCAAATCACCTTTTCCAGAAACGGATTACGTCGAATAAATCTAGCTATGACATTTCCACTCTATCCTACAAGGCGAAGGGAATAACTATGATTATTTTCTACGTTCATAAACAGTGATCTACAAGTGTAGAATCAATGGTCCGAANAGTTCAAAGATCCATCCGATGATCGGATCCCGTCGCGAGTCTCGAGACAGGAACATGACAACTGTGCTCATCTTGGTTACGCCGACAGGTTAGTATCGTTGCTTTCCAGACTAATGGCATAATGGATACATTTAAAATTAGTGAGAAGAGAGCGGCTGTTATAAATGAGACCTCCGCGATGGCTGTCCAAGACAGGGAAAACAAATAAATTGTGGTCAAATAGTTTCACTACAATTTGGTTTACTGATCTACTGAGACCATGCAGGATTTGCCACTCCACGGCTTAGGTTACCGGTTTCATCGGAAGGGTGATGTTGCTCCCCTAGACCACTAACAATTCTACTCGAGAAGGTAGTAAAGCAAATATCCATGTCCCGGACAGCACTTGATCTTTATCACAAAAATTAGCGATCACGGTAAGCAAACACAGAGCACAACTATCCACGAGGACTGAGCACGCCATCACAAGTTCAGACGCGCATAAGGATAGAAAAAGTTCGAAAAAAAGATGTGAGCAGATTTGTACGGGACCAAGATATGCTTTTCCGCGTAGTAGGTAGAACAACTAAAGTAGCCGTTGGTCGAAAAATAAATAGGGCAGGGTTATCAGGCTCACTCACTGGAGTGCCAATAAGACTCGCGTATTTTCCCTGGATTACCACATGTACACANCACAGGCACACATTCAATTGTGCGTCCGTGTAAAACAAATTGTAGACAGGTATACAGAACAAGCCGAAATGTAACGTAAGACATGAAAAACAGTGGGATAAGTGTCGATAAAAACAGAGAGAGATATTCACCCACATCCGGACAATATGGTCATTATCAGCCTGTTTGCAACGCGAGTAAGGGGAGCCATGAAACTGAGAAAACGCGCCTCATCTTCGCCCAAATCGACCATCAACAGACGAGCCAGGGATGCATAGAATGTGGTACGCAATCGGTAGCGGGCTGCCTGGGCACAGGCGGACATAGTCGGCATATCCGAGATCGGAGCCAGGAAAGCAAAGTTGTCCTCCTGTGTGGATAGGATGATCGAGAGGGAGAACTAAACAAGATCAATGAACAATGGGAAGAACTATTGCAACATATGATGTGTCAAGTCCGGGTCTGATCCAGATGTGGGTTTTGCCGCTTGACTTCTAGGTTTCGTTTCGATTTTCCAAATAACAAAAAGCCGGGTTAATGATTTCATACGCCCTTCAGTGANTGACCAGTATGAAATTCCAACCCCAGGACGGTTAACTAACTCTGGCAATGAACAAACTGGTTCTCATCCATGTCAGTAGTACGCCTATCGGATTGGATTCTAATGTGGTGCCAAACTCAGAGATAGAATTCGCGGGTCCCGGTGACTATGGGGTTTAGTTGTTTTTCTGTTTGTCGCAGTGAGATGTATAAAAAAATCGCCATCTGCTCTGCTTCAGTGGGTCCAAAATGGAATTTGGACTGCACTTTTTAAAGCCCAAATAAAACCTACTTTTGAATACATACGATGGGGTTTGCTGTTTCACGCGTATCTGTCGGAAAGCGGTCCACCAGACTGCTGATTCACTGATCTATATTGCTGTGATGTATTCTGGCTCTCTCTCTCTCTTTCTCTCTGTAACGCACACTCGGGCACTCCTCGATCGTTAAGATCACAATTTTTGCTAGATCCAAGTATTTGTGCGCGGCACAATTTCACTTCCCTCAAAAATTGGGTTGACTGCGGAGGTACAGAAGAGCAGAATTGCATACTAGTAAGCGCGTCCCCAGGTCACGGATAGCAGAACGGATATCGGGACTAAGTTCACTGATTAGGTGGTCACGAACGATCACCGGCAGTGCTCGAGGACAAGGTTATTTTGGCACTTGATGAGTTCTCCGTATATAAACATCTGCTCATGGTATTAGCGTGTTTATAAATTTTTATAAGTTCGAAGAGTGTTCTTTTATGCATACAGCCTCAGGAAACTGGTTGTTCCAAATAAACTAATTCCAAAACTTATTATTCTCCTCACCCTTCTACACTGGCTATACTACTCTCCGATAGTTATCCCTGATTTACAAGACAAATATTTCACCTAGTTTCCCAGGTACCTTAAACTTTTATCGCATTGCAGTGGAATGGAATGAGTTGTTATGATGGGATGTTTTATTTCCAGTCATTCACAGATTTATGCTACGTTTATTTATCACAAGTGAGCAAAAGCACTGCCTGGACTCTGAAACTGAAAGCCATCTCCGGCAGCAAACTCTCGTCTTTCTGCACGCACATTCTCGTACAGAAACAGTGTAAATCAGTATTCGGCTCGGTTGTTGATTAATCGTACGATAATTGTCATCCAATATAGGGACTCTTGCATTTGAATTTTCCCCTTTTTTACTCCTGCATCGATTTGTTCCCTGTTATGTTTTTCAATCACACTTTTTATATATTCGTTGTCCGAGACTGTAAATTGCTGAAAGTTCGCCGTTTGAGTGCACACAGCGGTTCTTGACTTGAATCTGTGGACAGCGCCGAGATGCGGGGGATGTGTATCGTCAATAAATATGTTCAATGTCTCTTGTGATGTCCCATTTACACGACAAGTTTTCGGGAAGAGGTGAACGAACGATTCCATTGACCATCCGCTTAGCTGAAGCAACACTACTGTTTCGCTCTTGGCTGCGTATACGATCGATCTATGCTAGAATGGAGTGACCGAGCGGTACAACTGTTCATAACACAAAGCACAATGGACTTAAACTACCCCTCCCCCAGCCCTACTGTTCGCCATGGTACATCCGCTCTNTAAGGTCGTACAAAAACTCTTCCTCCTTCAATTCCAGTCCTATTTTCACATCGAACGGGAGCCTTGATCATCCACACATGTGGTAGTGTCACTAACGAAAAATTTGACCAAATGCTACTTCGTCCAAAACATTCAAGTCTCGCCATGTTTGCTTTTCGTCAGCGATACAGTTTCAAAATGGCTGCGAACTCTGGTGAGTAACGAACATCAGAAGTGTTTAGCTGGAACGATATAGACACGGGGTATTGATGTGTGCTGCCAGAAAAAGATCAGCCGGATCGTACTGGCGCACTCTGATCCAACTACGTCTTAGCTAACGCTCAGTTGACTAGGTGCTTCGAAGGGGCGGTCCAAACGTACGACACAGCGACGGTTGGACTGCACCACTGAACACCATTCTAAAAGCTTTAGCGGAAAAACTGGCAAGAAACCTACTTGATAATATCAATTGACGTTGATTGTTTGTCAACCACACTGCATTTTGCTACCCTATTAAGTGACGGCATCGTGGATTTCTGTTGAGTCTTTATGTCTACTTGACACACCACGGTCAATTCCAGCCTTCAGCTCAATGCAAGCCTGTAGATTGTTCCATTCGATTCTAGTCACTGATGCGGGTCGAACACTTTGTGAAACTAACGGCTCGCCGATTCCCAATTAAAGGAATTGCTCGTGTCTGGTGGGAACATCTAATGAACAATGGCGAAGTTAGTCGTCTAATGCTGGGTGCTGATGGTCATTCGTTGAAAAAGTTCGATCACGTATTGCGAAAGCCTGTGCGCGCATATATATATACTTTGGGAGAGATTTTAGAGACACTTCTTTTGAGAGCACACACGGACGGAAATCAGGCTTTTGCAAATATGTCAGATGGTAAAATGAGTATGCCAAACAATATTTTTTTACTACCAGTGACCGTACTCTCCTGATCTATCTTTACATCTAGCTATATCACAAATGAGAGTGGAAAGTATTGTAAGCTCTACGAAGTAACATGAAATCGTTTCAGTGGTCGAGTAATCGATTTCAAAAATAAGCCGGTTAATTGGATGAAATAAACGGAATAAAAAGCTCCATTAAATTTATTAGTCCAGATGAAACGCGAAACAAGTGTGACAATGTGTAAAGTAGATGATTCCGGGAAAGGATAACGCTTACTGTGTGATTGGCCAAAATGAACTGGATCCCGTCCAATCGCAACAGTTTCCGCATTGCACTATAACCCCGGGACAATTCTGACAGTAAATCTAACGTGCGACGCAAAATGGGTTCATGACAAGTCCAATATTTTAGATTGGTTAGAATCTTTTCCACGAACGCACTCAGGACAGGCAAATCGTCGGAGAAACCCAGAACTTCCGATAGACGGAGATAGACCTGTAATTGGAGTGCAAGAGGGGCAACAGAGCGTCTTATTGTAAACGAGAGCGACTATAAACAGGTATAATCAAATCAAAACTATAAGTATTATATAGTTGAGAGAATACTAACGGATATTTATTCTAATTACTTTAAACCTCGAATGCAATAAAAATTATTTGGACAAGGCATCTCCTTTCATATACATATGTATACCAGAACAGAAACCACACACACAAACACACACACACACACTTACTCGAGACATGCGACCAACAGATTCGCTTGCATAGATTCGTCGAAACTGTTCGAAAAAACTGAGTGAGGCCATCTCAAGACGACTGGCTCCGGCCGAGGTGGCCAGAACGCTGGGGCGGTTTTGCGAGGAAGCGGACATGGTGAGACGATTGGCGGTCAATCGCATCAGTTGTAGCACGCGACAAACCAATTCGCCGTCGTAATCATCATCGGAACTGGTGTAGTTCACACGACTGCCGATCAGAGCACCTGGATCAGCCGGAATAAGGTGGTTTAAGTCATACAATAATAAACAACACAAACTCTCGAGATTGTGCACACTGGTGGCAACGATGTTGGATATAGGCTGAATTTTGCCATATTTTATCCAATAAATTAAATTTCCCCTCTCCCAAACAGAAAGCCATAAATAACTTGGACATGATAGAGCGTGATGTAGTGCATCAAATTCTTGCGAAGCAGTTGTGAAGGTATTTGTCTTCGTGTACTAAATCGGACAGTGGAATAGACGAGTAACACGAAAGGAAGCCACCTGTGGTATGACGAAAAGAGCTCACAGCCACATCAGCACACATTACAGTGATTAAATGAATGCGACTGTGCTAGATGATATCAACCTTTTTATAAGTGAACCGAGAGCATAGGGTGACGCCAAGTACTGTTATCTGTTGGTAAGTGTTATATAATTTGCTGCTAGATCACACAACCCAAGCGCCAACCGTTGCTCTTCATTCGTCCCATCCCAGCCCTAATTTCTGTCAATAAAGGTAAATATTCGCATATAGGAGAAGAAAAAAGATTCTCCTAGTCTGCTTGGACATGTTGTTCGCTTTGCATATATAAATACATTGAGATGAGCAAAACTGAAACGAATCTCATAGACATACCGGCCATATAGACAAGCCAAGCAAGGCGATGTTCTTCATAGTTAACTATTTGGACCAGACTGGGATCAGGTACTGTGGATTGACTTAGCATGGATAATGCCTTTTCGTAGCTTCCGGCAGACTCGTCAAATAGCTGAGCTACCACACCGCAAGTTTGGGCGANTTGGGCGAACCCGCACCGACCGATCACAGCGAACTGAAACGACGACGGAAGAACAGGGTAGACAACCAATAATAAAAGACCGATTCTGTGTGCGGAGCGAATATCATACCCAATTCGTTAGAACAGAACGAAGACAAATATTGGGAGTTGTTGAAATTTCTTTCTTAGCTCCCCAGTCACCACAAAGTAAAACAATCTGGCATTTATTTATACAAGACAGTCTTGGCAAGTACAGGGTGATAAGACGGACACAGAACCGGCCTCACGGTAACGTCGAACATCGTCCGCATCCCTGATCATGATTGAACAAGTGAATCTGGTCAAGATGAGGCTGACAAATGCATTGGAAGCACGGGGTCCTAAAAAGGTCATTCATGCTTTTAGTAAACAGAGTAGAAAACTGCGGATAGTTTAAGTACTATATCGGGGAGGGAAATGTGGCTACAAAATCAGGTGGGTTTGATCCGATATCTAACTCCAGTAAACGAGCTAATAAATCAATTGGACACATTTTTGCATCCCGGTAACCAGTCATGTCTCTAGTGAGAAAGGTTTCGATATGGTTTCGTCACGCACGTGCTATACTCATTTGTCAAACTGATACACTCATGGTGTCGCCGCAGAATCCACATACACCTAACAGAACAGAAAAAGGATGGATGGATCGTAGGTAAATAACACAACACACCAGTCTGATGGGACAAAAGAATGAACGATTTCAAGGTCACAGCGGCCGGGAGAGGGGGGTATGTTACGCATGGATCTTCAAGTATATCTACTCGGCGTGCATAGGTTACCGAGGCGGGATTGATGTGAAGATATGTATTATTTATCCAATCGATTCCTATTGTTATTTTTTTCATCACACACCTAAGTGTGATGTATAGCAGACGGGGTGGAACCCTATAGTTACGAGGACCTGCTGTTCAGTGGCGGATACCGGCAACCTGAGCTCCGGGACTTGGAGTGGCGAACCACATAAGGCCCCGATAGGTTAGGCGTGGTATTGAACCGGACAGCTTCTACCACCAAAAGCTGCTGTGTAGGTTGTGTTAGGCTTCTCTGTGGCTCAACTCCGGATCAGTGGAGTTTAGAGTCATTTGTGTGGATACTGACTTTCTTGAACTGTCGTCGAGACCCCACTTTGACACTCATCCATTCACTCTTAATCAGCTGAGTGGATGAGTGACCAATAAGCAAGGAATGAACCATAGATGTTCTAGACTGTTAGCTGTGAATAGGTAATTGAACGCAGCTCATCAGAAATGCGTTCTGTCAGACTGGTTACATTAGTAAGATCTGTGGAAACGAATATTTTCCAACATTACTATAACATTTCCCGCTGTCCCACCCACACCAACCACATTCGGTGTATAATTTCAAACTTCATCCACGGTTTACCTCGATAAACGACCAATCATTTTCAGACCGGGGTTCCTTCGATAGGCTTCAGGTTCTGTCCCTCCTTAGGATTGTATATTCCATCTCATTCATCCCATCATGTTCTTCTTCCTATCCTCAGACTATTGGCAACTTTGGGTCACATGCGCAACGCGAGATCTGGATTCAGCATCGAAGTGGCTGTTCAGTTTTGCCAAGTTCGGTTTACGACATACCACAGATAACATAATTTTTTTGGAATATAAGGTTTTTACTCTGAAGTGAAGACGCCTGCTTCTCGTCCGATTGCAGTGCAACTAGAATGAAGTCTGCGAGGAAGCACACAGACCGCAGTGCGAATGCTTTGCATTGAAAAGGTTGCATGTGAACAAACGAAGCTCCTTATAGTATTCCATGTTTGTTGTACTGACTAGCCGGGTTCAATTTTCGTTTTTCATTCACAGGATTTGAAGTTCGGTACCCAGGTTAAAACCACGGCTATCCGATTGATGCTTTAGGCGACTTCCTACGGACGCTCAAGCCATTCATTCACCTAGATGAGCAATAGTTTTCTTCTTTAAAAATCAAGATGTACAACCAAAATATTTTGAAAGAGTGGGTGAGATTCGAACGGAGGCATGGTTAAGAATGCCACTACCGAAAATATAAACACCACATCAAAGCGATGAATGATGCGACTCCAAACTACCTCCGAAATCCTCAGCATGGTCGGGGGCGGGTGT